TGAGACTACAAATAGCAATGAAAAGAGATGCTCATCAGGCCATTATACTGCAGCTGTCATCGCTTGACCAGCATGATTGCACATGAGGCCGTAGTGCCTCTGTACCGCAACTACGTCTCAACCTCAACTGGTTTCCGTAGAACTCCAATGTCCGGCATAGCATCGTTGCAATCATTCTCCGTGACTGAATGAGCCTCATGTGTTGTGTGCGACATGCAAACTTAGTCGCATCCGCTCACTTCCTCTCATAAATCGGCGGCACAACATCCGGGTGAAACGGGCTCTTCGCCGCATCCGCCTTCTGCTTGTCAAAGTTCCACACACCATTCGTCTGCCCATCGTTGATACCCTCGCCAATCTTCTTGGCCAGCTGCTCGAACAACGGGTACTTTGGTGCTTTTGAGAAGAACTTGCGCTCCCACTCCTTCCCAGCCTCCTTCTCCTGTTGTCGCATCTCGCGCTGGCGGGTCTCGATGATGGTCTTCTCCGCACTCGTCAGGTCCATGTTGCCACTGTTAATCGCATCCGACACCTTCTTCCACGCGCGCCGTGTCTCGAAGTCGTCTTGTTGCTCGATGGCGGCGACGGTGAGGGGCGTTGTCTTTGTGGACTTGTGGTCGAATGTGTCGACGACGGCCTTGGTCTTGGCATCCTTGATCTGGAACGAGTCGGTCCACTGGCCGTCGGCCTTGTAGATGGCTTCCTTCTCCTTGCCCTCGGGGTATAGCACGGCGGTGAACGAGTTCTTCTTTCCGGAGACCCAGCCCTTGCCGCTGTAGTCGATGCGCGCGGTGTAGCCGGTGGAGGATTGGATGTAGGTACTGCTGTTGAGCTCGACGTAGGGGGAGCCTGTGATGAGGCCTTCGATGTGGAGGGCGGGGAGGGTGATGAGGTAGCTTTCGTTGTAGTTGTCGAGGTGGAGCATGGCATGTCCGATTTGCTGTGGAAAGTTAGCGGTGTACATGGGAGATACTAAGGATAATTACCTTGACATTGATCGTGGTCTTGAAGGACGCCTTCTGCGCGTTGTAACCTTCCAGCCGGACGCCGTGTTGGTCGTTCCAGATGGAGTAAGCCGTGACGGGTGGATGATGACTGCGCGCATTGCATTAGCTCTCCCGTACTATACGCGTGGCATGCTTACGACAGGCTGAGCCATCGCAAACGCGTGTGCGCGTACCTGACTTGCTCGCTGACGAGCTGTGTTGTGCCTGCCTGGTCCTCCCACTTGCCCAGGAAGAGCTCGCCCAAGAAGGGATTCAGAGGCTTCTTCTCGCTACCCAGCTTTTCCGACCGACTGGCGTACTGCTGCTTCAGTGTGCTCAGAAACCACTTCAGCACCAGCATGGCTCGCTTGGCAGGGTCCTTCTCGGCGGCCGGTGCGACGAAGACGGAGGGGTGTTCGGTCCAGTATGAGCTGTTGTGGGTCAGTGTTGCTTCCTGGGTGGCGGATATCACTAGACGTACGAGAACTCGGTGAGCGACTTTGTGGAGAGGATAAAGGCAGGCGCCGTCATCGTGGACAGGTCGCCATTGAAGGACGCGATGGACTATCGTGTGTTAGCCAAATGCCATGTCCGAGTCGAACACCACGATTTCCTGAAGCTACGAGCATTTCGCTATGCGCGAATATCTCTAGACACGTGAGGATGCTGGGATAATTCCATACCTTGAGGAAGCTCGTCCATGAGCCTCTGGCCTGGGGTGGCACTGCCGATCCTTCCTTCTCAGCCATGATTGCGGTGCACGTATGTTGGGGATTATTTGAAAGAGGTGGGAGAGGTAAGAAGAAGCGTCGACAGGTGTAGACGCGCGTGTAGGGATGTGTGAAAGGCGGGGGTTGTCGAAGACTAGGGACCTCGCAGTGGGGACGGAGGGCTGTTATGGAGACGCTGCGGACGGAGCATGTTTAGATTGGGCAATGACGTCGGAGCTAAGCCACACACCCGCCCAAACACAACCAGGTCATGACGAACAACATTCTCTCCACGGGGCAGTCAGCCATGCTATTCCATTTGTTGGTGCTATGTTACTATTGTGATATCTCGTGTACATTTCGTCTAATCATGCTATTACATCTACGCGTTCCCCTTTCCAACGACGCGCTTAGGTCTTGACATCGGGCTCGGTGCGGCCAACGTACTCCTGGAGCTTGAGGAGGTCCGTCGCGAGCTTGACGTTGTCCTTGAGGTAGTCTTGCGCGTCCATGTCGTATGTCGACTCGTCGCTGGTGTGCTTCTCGATGTAGAGACGGATGGTGGCGCCGCTGCTGCCTGTGCCGGACAGACGAACAACGATGCGGCTACCGTCGTCGAACTTGACGAAGATACCCTGGTTCTTGCTGACGCTGCCGTCGAGGTCGGTGTAGGAGAAGTCGTCGGCCTCGAGAACCTTGCGACCAGCGACGGTTGAGCCGATGAACTCGTCCTTCTTGGTGGTAATGAGCTCCTTCATGTGGGCGGTGACCTTGTTGGCGCCCTCGGTCTCGCAGCCCTCGTAGTCGTAGCGGGTGAAGAATGTGCGACCGTAGGTTGTCCAGAAGTCCTTTTGGATCGACGCAATGCTGGGTGTGGTTCCAGTCTGCTGTCCGACACCAGCCAAGATATTCAACCAGGCGACAACAGCCCACAGACCGTCCTTCTCACGGATGTGGTTGCTGCCAGTTCCAAAACTCTCCTCACCGCAGATGTTCATCTTGTCAGAGTCGAAGAGACCGCAGAAGAACTTCCAGCCGGTGGGCACCTCGTAGCACTCGACGCCCTTCTTCTTGGCGACAAGGTCAATGGCGCCAGAGGTAGGCATACTACGGGCGAGACCGTAGATGCCCTGCTTCTTGAAGTATGGGATGAGCTCGGCGTGGTGTGCGATGATGGCTAAGCTGTCACCAGGCGAGACGAAAGAGTTTGCGCCGTAGATCATGTTTCGGTCACCGTCGCCGTCGCTGGCAGCACCGAATTGGATTCCGTTTTTGTCAACGGCGTCGACCAGCGACTTGGCGTAGACAAGGTTAGGGTCGGGGTGGTGGCCGCCAAAGTCGGGCTTGGGGACGCAGTTTTGTGTGCTGTTGGGGATGCCAAGCTCCTTCTCGAAGATGTCGACACCGTACGAGCCAGTGACACCGCTCAGGCCATCGAAGAGGACCTTGAAGTCGGAGTGCTCCTTGAGGAACGACTTGATGAGGTCAAAATCGAAGATGTCCTTGAGCATCTTGAGGTAGTCCTCGGTGGAGTGGACGATCTCAACCTCGAGGCTTCCATACTTTTGTGTACCGATGGTGCTGAGGTCGATGTCGGGGATGTCGGCGATCTTGTACGAGCTGAGGGTCTTGGAAGTTTCGTAGATCTTGTTGGTGACGCTCTCGGGAGCCGGGGCACCGTTGGCCAGGTTGTACTTCATACCAAAGTCCTCGTCGGGGCCTGGATGTGTTAGATGGGAGGAGTGTATGGGTTGTGGAGAACTTACCACCGGGGTTGTGGCTGGCAGTGAGGAGGATACCACCCGTCGCCTTGCGTATCCGGATGATGTGACTGGCGGCGGGTGTGCTCATGATGCCGTTCTGGCCGATGAGAAGCTTCTTGACGCCATAGGCAGCGCTCATCTTGGCGATGGTCTGGGTGACCTCGGGGTTCCAGTAGCGGCCATCACCACCAACGACGAGGAATGCGCCCTCAACGCCTTCTGGGATGGATTGCAGGATGCTAGCAACGAACGACTCTGAGTAGTGCTCCTGCTGGAAGACCTTGACCTTCTTGCGGAGACCAGAACTGTAGTGTCGAATGTCAGCTATCATCCATCGACACCATAGCTTCATCAGACCTCTCAGCTCTTTCGGGTATAGTCGACTTACGTTCCGGGCTTCTGGTCCTGGAAAGGCTTCAATTCAACGGTTCGGACGCTCATATTGACTGTCTATGTTCTTGGAGCTTTGTGAGAGAAAGATGAAGCAATTGGAGAGTCGGGCGATGTGGCAGCTGGCAACTTTTGAGCTGGTGAGGGGCCCAGCTTCCCCCACCACGCGGGATGACGCCGGCGCTAGCTCATCAGCGGAAAGACCAACGCCACGCTGGCTATCACCGACGACTTTTTCTCGTCAACGTCCCAACACTCGCCGCGCCCATGCACTAGCCCTGCATCTGAGGCCGAGACACTGCACAACACTCCTGACTGACCACTCCCCGCCTCGCTTCGCCCCAGACCCTTTGCGGGGGTCCCCTGGCCGTGTGCATACCGTCGTTCCTTCCGTCTCGACTAGAACACAACTTCCTTCCCAACACCCTCAACCACCTGGTCAAAATGGGTATCCAAGGCCTTGCTAGGCGTCTCGAACCCTATGCGACGCGGCTTTCCTCCGATCAGCTAGACGGCTACTCCGCCGTGATAGACGGCCCTGCCCTCGCCTACCACGCTCACAAATTGGCCCTCGCTTCAGCCGCTAGCGCCACTCGAATCCCGTCTTATGCAGACATCGTCGCTGAAGCACTCCGCTGGCTGTACTCGTTGGAGAAGAGCAACATCAAGGTGTGAGTAAACTACAGTTGCTTTTCAGCGCCCGGACACGGAACCACCACGGCAAGCCAATAAGGTGCGCACATATGTTCTTCACTTCACCGCCATTGCTGCAGGGGTTGCAAAAACTTCACTTATCGTGGAGTCGAGATGGGAAAGTTGCTTGATTGCACTTGACCGTGACCGTTCTATGCACGTTATGCGAGTGCTGATGTGAGCTTATGTCGTCCACTGCTGATCGCACGTTCTCAGGTCTGCCATCTACTTCGATGGAGCCTTACCTACTTCAAAACGAGCCGAGAGACTGTCCAGGATGGAGGCGAACAACAAACGAGTGCAGCAATTCCGCAACAACTACGCTACCGTTTCTTGTCCTGTTCCCACATACCTAGGTTCCATCTCATACGCGTTCCTTGCGCCTGCACTGCAAGAAGCGCTAGTAGAGATAGATTCACCTTTTGCTACATATACCCATACAGTACCGGGAGAAGCAGATGACTGGTGCGCGTCGCACGCGAAAAAACATTTACGATCCATCATCTTTACGAGCGACACCGACCTCATTCTATACGACTATTCGGTATATACGCTCGTCGTGTTTCTACACGATGCAGACATCTCTACTGGTATCAAGGCGTACTTACCAGCCGAGATCCGAAAGCAGTTACAAGTGAAGAGTCTGGTGACGTTTGCATACACTCTTATCGAGAATCCACAAGATAGTACGAAGCTGCTAGCTCACCAAGCTCAGGATGTATACCAGAAGTCTCGCCGGTACATTGACTTCGCCAGCCGCTACATCGTGAAGAGTCCAATGCCTGTTTACCTCGATGAACCAGACTTGGTACGTCCGCCCCAGATCGACGTCCGGCTATCTGAATATGTGCACCAAACCTTCACCAACGACGAAAACCCGCACGTGTACTTGCCTTTACTTATTGAAGAGCCATCCCAGGCATCAGCATGGAACATAGGGTGCGATATCCGTAGACTGGTTTACAAGCTACGTGCGACAATAGAGCATACGGTAGTACAAGAGTACAGAAGAAAAGCGCAAGGGATATCAGTCCAGGAAGTTCCCATATACCCTCGGTGTTTTGACCAGAGCCCAGTCGATGACCTGGAGTCGCAGATGCGCAGCCTGAGATCCTGGGGTGAGGAGAAGTCCGTCAGCTCACAGCTCCTATGGTCGCTCTTTGGTCTCAGTCTAGTGCTTACCGAACTCAACACGCCGCCTCCCATACCCTTGGTCCAGCGCGTACTGAATTGCGAGTTCGATAACAGTTGGGCTTTTGTGCACCTCACGGCTAGACTGCATGCTGCTCTCTACTCTCTTCGCATGTTACTCCAAATGGTCAAAGTCGCGAGGGCAATGATGGATCCTGACCAAACAATAGACCCCAGGGACCCACAAGAAAACGAAAACTCCAGGCTGCGCAGGACAGTGCACATCATCGCCGGTCACATGTCCGACTTCCCCTCGATACCGGACGTGATGGGTGTACCGGGGCAGGCAAAGCGCATCCTAGCCGAACACGACGTGCTGAAGGAATTGATTGAAGAGATCTATACGTCTGCTGGTGTGGGAATACCAAGCGAACAGATATCGAATAAGCAGAGGAAGAAGCAAATGAGGGAAGCAGAGAGGAAGAAGAAGAAGTTTGTCCAGAGGATGCAGGCGAAGCCGCAGGAGGGAAATGCTTACGCATTACTGGGTGATGGTTGATCGTATATTGTGAGGAACGGCAGGAATAATAACAACCGGTTCGAGACTGTCCACATTTCTTTCATTAACGCCATCATGCAATCATCGAGCTGTCAGCTGTCCTTGCTTCGTGGGGCGCGCACGCACAAACTGCGGAGAAACGATGTGCGATGTCTGAAGTTGGGTTCGCACGGTTTCGTTTGCGCTTCGTACAACCTTCGTCGTACTGACTTCACAGCCATAGAGTTTGACATCAACATTTAGCCGTAGTATCGTGCCGCGCGTTCTAAGCCCGAACGCCGCTTTCGGCCTACTGAGCACGCGACCACCGACCTCTAGCTAGGACATCCACGCCGACCACCCATTGCCACAAACTTGTTCACGATGTCGGTCCAGCCACAACTTGGAGTCGCGGCGCTATACGAACACGCTGTCACGCGTCTGCATAAAGTCATGGATATGCTGTAACGAATGTCGAGGGGCATTAACATCCGCGACGGACGTTCGGCCGAACGATTGAGTACAAGTAGAACGAGCAAGTGCTTGAAAGCCTTGCACTACTACATGATCAAAGTAACTACTTCTCTACTATAAGTTCAAATCATCATCACCACTTCTAGAACAGCACAGTGCATTTCGCCCGTCATGGCTTCATCGACCTCCCACCCCCAAGCAGACACCCTAATCCGCGCCGGCACAATCGAAACACTCCAACCCGGCATGCCACCACAGCGCTCCATAGCCCTCCTCTCCGGACGTATAATTGCCCTCAGCGAGGACTCAGCCGGCTTAGACGACTTCATCGGCAGCCAAACCCAGATCATCGACGTACCAGACTCCACAGTCCTCCCCGCATTCACAGACACACATACCCATCTGATTCTCGCCGGATTGACCTACTTCGACGTGCCAGTCAATGACGTCAAGAGCCTAGATGAGCTGTTTGCAAGATTGAAGAAGCGGGCGAGCGAGACGAAAGAGGGGGAGTGGATTTGTACGGCGACGGATTGGCTGGAATATAATATCAAGGAGCAGAGACTGCCAACGTTGAAAGAACTCGATGCTGTTTCGACCAAACATCCCATCATGGTGATGAGAGGTGGTCACAACGTTGTCGTCAACTCGGTCGTTGCGAATCTGCTGAACGTAACATCCGACACACCCTCACCACCAGGCGGCCTCATCGGCAAAGAAGCAGACGGAAGTCTATCCGGTCTCTTCCAAGACTCCGCCACCGTCCCCATTCTCAAACTAAAACCCTCCACAACCCTCGCAGAAAGAGTCGCAGGACTAGAAGCCGCAAGCCGTGCGTACGCCGCCACGGGAACAGCCTGCGTCCGCGACTGCTACGTCCCGCTCGCCGATCTAGACGCCCTCATCGCTACTCACGCAGCCGGGAAACTTCACGTGCGCGTACATGCCCTCGTACCCGCCGTGGGCATGACATGCGCAGAGCAAGTCGAAGGTTTACTCAACAAAATGGAGTCATACCGGCACATGCAAACCGATCCCTACCTCTCCGTCTGGGGCGTGAAATTCATGGTCGACGGCGGCATGGAAGCAGGCGCCGTATCCACGCCCTACCTCTCCATCCCGCCCGGCCGCGAAAAAGACGCGGATTGCAATTGTTGCGGCCTCCCTTCCTACCACGGGATGCTCACGTGGGAGAAACCGGCGCTCGTCGAAGCCATGACCGCCGTTGTTCGCCGTGGATGGAAAATAGGAACACACGCGTATGGCGACCGTGCTGTCAAGTTGGTACTGGATGTATACGAAGAACTCTTGCACCGGTTTCCGTACCTCCAGTCTGGAACTCTGGTAATGGAACACGGAGGCCTAGTCTCACCTTCTGAACAAATCCGAGCAGTGAACCTCGGTATCGCGACGACGATCCAACACCCGCTTTTGCATAACGCAGCGGGGGTCCAGGAAGTATACTGGGGCACGGAGCGCGTATCCCGCACTTTCCCCGCGCGGACGTGGCTGGATGCTGGTGCGCTGATAGCGGGCGGGAGCGACTATCCTGTTGGTAGTTTTGCGGCTATGCGGTCGGTTTGGGGGATGGCGTCAAGAGAGACGGTGATTGGGGTGAGGGGGGTTGAACATGCGATTAGTGTGGAGGAAGCGGTTGCGTTGCATACGACTAAAGCTGCGGAGCTGCTGAGGGAGGAGGGGGAGAGGGGACGGCTTTTACCGGGGTTTGTGGCGGATTTGGCGGTTTGGGGGGTTAATCCGCTGGAGGTGGGGGATTTGGAGGTGCTGAAAGACATGATGCCTAGTCATATCTCGGTGGGGAAGAAGTTCGTTATACTCTAGCTTGCGTATCTGATGAAGAAGCGAATAGCATAGTGGTCGAAAACAGGGACATCTTTCAAACATAATAAAGTTCTGGTATCTAGACCTTTGATAACGCCCATCTAAATGCCGCTCTTAGACAGCAATTATATGATATAAAACACAAGGAAATTCGTCATCCACACACATCCATCCATCCCCCATCCTTTCCTATTCTACTACCTAGCAAAGTAATCCCTCGCCCCATCCCTACTAGGACTATACGGCGTATACTGCTGTTGTTGCTGCCCATATCCCCCTCCCCCACCCAACCCACTCCCCACGCCCATAGGCGCAGCCCCACTAACCAACCTCCCCTGATCCCCTCCTCCAATCTCATAAGGACTTTCCCCCCTACTATCCACGCCCCTCAAATCCAAGCTGGGACTAGGACTGTATTCGCGCAACGCACTGGGTGTTTGATGGTAGCCAGCAGGGTACAACACGCCCGGATCGTCGCGCATAGTACGTTCCGAGTCGCGACTTGTACTCCTCCCACGATCGCTGTTGTTGGTGGAGTTATCGCGGCCCCAATGACTGCCCGGTGTATCAGGCCTCCCCACCGTACTCCCGCCATACAAACTGCCCTCCCCGCCGTGTTCATCGCTGAACTCAGGTCTATTCTTGTAGTTCTCGTAATCCATATTCGATTCCGACACGAATTCAAAGGGGCCGGTACCTCCTCCTCCTCCACTCGAGATGTTGGCTGAGGCGGCGGTTTTACCAGGATGTTCTTTGGACATGCGTTTCATGGTGTAGACGTCAGAGAAGGCGGCGGTGTCGCCGATGTCGCCGTCGAGGCGGCCGCGGTAGACTTCGGCGAGGAGGTGTTTGGATTTTTCGTGCACCATGGGGACGGTAAGTTTTTGGTAGAGGGCTGGGTGGCTGTGATATCATATCAGTAACTTATTTTTTGTGCTTGCAAAGTGTAGATGACTTACCCGAAGCGCACTGCAACACGATCCCTACGACGCGATTCCTTGTCTATTGGGGTTGGGGCTTCGGTGCCCTTGGCGCGTGTGCCTTGCGTGTAGTATTTGAGCGAGTGGTCGAAGGCGTTCTTGCAGTAGAACTTGAAGGCGATTAAGCCGAGAGGAAGAGGGGCCATGGCGGCCAGCATGGTCCATTTGTGTTCGTAACCACGGGCCACGACCAGCAGTGCAACGATGCAGTTGGAGAAGAAAGTGCCAACGAGCATGCGGTTAAAGAGCACACGCCAGAAAGCACCGCCTGACTCGTTCTTGGTGCAGAAGACGTACCTAAACATATGTTAGTGGGGTATTTGAGGGTTTTGGAGTCAAGACTTACATCAGAAGATACTTCTTCATCCAGCTATCGAGCGTAAAGTAAATCGCCACAATAACCAGCGTAATCGGCTGCAACGGCGCAAAACACAGCGCAACCGTCGAGTAAAACAAAAAGTAATTGTAGTAACTCGCATAGTCAAACGGCGGCGGCGCAGTCCGACTGATCAGCTCCCTAGGCGTCGGGTTCAAGAACTTGCGAGAGAAACTGCCCCACGCGAGGTTGACAGCCTGGGCCAGATCAATAGCGGCGCCCAAGTTACGCTGGACAAGCCATGTAACCCAAAAAGGCGAGACTTCGCACAGGGTACGCATGGTCGTGTCGAAGAATTTGATTTGTCGTAGGATATCCATGAATGGAACGTGTTCCTGGGTCGCGAGATTGACAATCATGACAATCATACCGAAGACGGCGCTGAAGAGCGAGAAGACGAACAGGTTGTTGAAGACAAAGAAGGCGTATAATTGTGCTGTGACATGGCGCTCTCGGGATGTCTTGGTTGTGTCTCCGGCCTTGATGGACAAGCGACGGAAGATGATGGGGAGGAAGTAGTAGAAGAGCGAGGTAAGTGCCGGAGCTGCGAGACCTTGAACGACGGCCCAGAAATCGGCGTGTGCGGCTAGTTCGGTCTGGAAGGTAGGCCACACAAAACCCAGGTTGGAGAGCTTGGACAGAAAGACGGCGATCAGGGCGTTGGGGATGAAGTACAGGAGTGTGAGCAGGGTGATCCAGAAGTTGTTCACAGTCCTCCTCCATCGTCGCGTCTTGGGATCGAGGGTAAGGTTTTTCCAGATGATATCCTTTGGCTTGGGCGCGAGTCGGACGGTGGTGCCTTTGACATGCTTGCTGCGCGCTGCGAAGGCGACCATGTGCGCAGAGTCGATACTCTCGTAGCTAGCGAATCCGTACGATAGAGCATCGCGCTTGTCGATTGTCTCCCGCACCTCCTTAATCTTGCTTTCCAATCGCTGAATGCGTGCTGTGAGGTAGTCGATTGCATCCACCTTTTGCGCCTTGTCGGTGAACTCTGGGTCTTTCTTCGAAGGAGTACATAGCGGTCGCTCGGCGGGTAGCTTGTTCGGGTTCTTCAGGTATTTCGCCAAGATCTTCTCCAGCTCAATGACCGCCTCTTCGTGTGCCTCGATGAGATCTGGGATATCCTTTACGTTGCGTCCGATGGACGCGCGGGGCACCTCTGGCGTAGTCTTCAAGCTATCCGTAACCTCGACGATGCCCTGATCACTGCGAAAGCTGCGGTCGATATCCGTAACCATCAACGTCCGCGCGTGCAGACTGTTCTGGTAGTCTGGGTGCTCGAGGTATTGACGTCTCATCCGGTGTACAGCGCGGTACATCCACCACAAGAAGCCGCAAACGATGATGTCGATAAGGTATGCCAGCACGACGAAAGCCCAGAAAACCTGACCGAATAGATCTCGAGGTGTCATCAGGAAGATGATCTTGCCGCTCATATCTCCGTCGAAATTCTTCTGGAATTCCACCGACTTGATGACGTTGACGGGAACGATAACCGCACAGCCAACGATGGCGAGTACGACAAACATGTTCCTGCACATGCGCGCAAAACGCAGGAAGATGGTCGCGTCCAATCCGATCTTCTCAACATATTCGGGTTCGTTGGTCTTAAACACGGGCTTGTACCACGCGAACAGCGATTTGTCGAGAGGCGGCGGTCGGTGTTTCTCGTCAGTGTGGCGGAGACGGGGCGCGTAAACGATAGTATTAAAAGGACGTAGTAGGAGGAAAAGTATGAAAATGGCGGCGGTGATGCCGAAGGATGTGCCGATAGCGACGAGGACGGAGTCTTGGGATACCTGGGCGTGTTAGAGTCGCATGCGACAGATGGGGGGCTGCATGTACCGAAGCGCCCAGGGCATTTTCTGTCATCAACTGCTCGAACTTCTGCTCTATGCTCAGGTCCCGCCGGAGCAGCACGTTCGGTACTGTGGATGCCATAGCGAGTGACGGGTGTAACGTGTAGCGAAGGTGTGGTAGCGATTGTGATAGCACGTGTGATGGGTACACGTGGTATTGGGGGTCGATCTCGGGTCCGAGAGCTCAGCGCATGTCTTCCTCGTGTTCCCCTCTCTCTCACTGAGATCTGAGTAAGATCTGCTGTATCGTAAAGATCGCCGTTGGTCGTATTCGGGGTTATTCGGCTGCGCGCTCTTCACAAGGAAAAATGACAAGTGGGTATACGCGCAAAGCAGAATGAGTGTACAAAGCAGAGTGTAAGGAAAGCCAAGAGTGAAGCAAGCAACGGCAGCAGTAAGCAGTAACGGCAGTGAGAGAGAGTTCAGAGCTACGAGCAGTGCCTCGCGTCCCTTGCCCGTGAAAGCGGATGGAAAAGGGCCGTCGATCCCTGTCGTGCCCTGTCAAGATGTCGGCGCTAGAGGGAGCTGTGACGCCTCGCTAGAGCCAGACCCTAGCCGCCTTCCACCAGGCACGCCCAGCCATTGGCTGTCCCAACGCGCCGTTTTAACGCCGGGTACGCGGCTCTGCCATGGCATCTCTGGCGGGTGGTTTTTATTTTTGGCCTCCAGGGCCTGGCCAGCTGCCCTAAGATTTTCCAGAGAGATCGCCCCTTAGTGAGCTCGGAGTAGTTTGCGGAGAGCGGAAGAATGAAGCTGCGCTACTGTTGTTCTTTTGCACCGCCACGCGTTCTCACAACAAGTATCATCGTGATCGGATCGTGCATAACTCGACGAATAACAAGTGGAAATGTGGCGGTGCGTTGCGCAGGCGGCTCTTCGGATTTGATGAGGCTTGTCCAGTCCACTTTCGTTTCAAATATGCATGTTTCGGACGATTTGAAATGGGCCACGTTTATGCTTGGAGACGGATCGTGGGTTGTGACGAGTTTTATTGGGTGCCGATGATCCGTGAATTCGGTGCTGCCGAGATCCTAGCCAGCGGTGAAATGCGATGTGTGTCGGAAGTGGGGAAGAGGGAAGGCACACCGAGCCATCTTGGAGATATATCCAACAACTCTGACTATCGTGTACTCAGTGTTGTCCCTTCCGCATGCATTTCCAGGTAGGCCAGCGCCATCTTTTACTTCCACCTCCGCCCCTCCGCCTCCCCTCCGCCTCCCCGCCACCTCCCCCACCCACCCGGAGGGAGAAAGAATACCGAGCCATCTTGGGGATATTCATGATCTCAAGACTCATGGCAGAGTCGCACAGAAGAGATTGAATCAACATTGAAGGTACTGATGAAGTGAGAACGCGGAAGTTGCATAGGCCTCAATCAGACGTGCAAATACCAAGGTAAATCCAAGAGCTATGAATTGTTTTTAGCATTTCCTCAGTCTTGCGAATACAAGTCAAACAGGACCGTCTACGCTATGTCATGGTTTGTTTCCGGGTAGTGATACTCGCTGGTGTCGATTTGTGAGGACTTTCTAATGCCATGTGGCCCCGTGGTAACAAACCAGGCACCTGCGACTGCAATCGACGGACTATCCACAAGTTACTCGATTCGGACGTGCCCGCGAAAACCCAAACACAGCACAACAACCAACACCGCTCAAATTGAAGTGAACAGATGCTTCAAAAATCACACTCGTTACATGCTGAGCTTTAAGTTGATCCTGCCGTATTGTCTAAACGGAAAGTCTGTATGCATCTTTCTCTGGGAAAATGTGGATGCAGGGT